AAAAAAAAAAAAGTAACCTCCCCATCCTTTACAGATACGCCAGAATATTCGTTGTCGTGAAACTTTGTCACAATATGACTGATCCTCGCCTTCCTTCGCTCATTTGCCAAACTACTACCAAGAGAAGCATTCACTCCGGTAGGCTTCTTATTGCTCGGTCGTCGTTTTGTCATAAATGGCTAAGTGAGTTTCAGATGCTTTCTAGGAGTTTCAAATAAAAACATTCGAAAACGGACAAAATATACAGTAAGAAGAGAAAGAAACGTTGTAGAAAAATACTTCATCGTAAACAAATTTTAACAACTCAAAATTGTCCAAAATGACGTTTATTTGTCAACGAGTAGTTTTTTTTTTGCCTGCTGTCTATATTTATTCAAATATATATTAAAGAGTTACAAAAGAAAGGTATTTTTTTGACTACTTAATCTCATTTTACCTAAAAATCTCAATTTAACCCTCTATCATTGCCTAGAACGCATATGGGATTGGCAATAAGACGATAGAAATATGTCTCGGAGCGATACGCCGTTGGCTGAGGTCCAGTTTATGGACACAGTTACTTGACACTTGCCGTCGATATACCTAGAAGGTAATTCACCATGGTATTCGCGTCTCATCCATTTTAACCTGATTGGGATCAATGAGTACATAGGAAAGATCAAGCAGTGGACATGCCAGATGTTTTATAGCTGTTTAGGTGTTTCTGCATTCTAGTTTTCATACCTTTCAAGACACAGTTTAGACAGATCAATGAATTTTTGAAAGAGTCATTGCGAGTAGATCAGAATAAACAAAATTCTGTGTTTTGCAGTTGGAACGTTTTTGAGATAGAAAAAGAAGAGCAGAAAAAAAAAGGTTAATGCGTATTTAACCGTGATACAAATATCTACAGTATACAGCTTTTACTGAAGCTTTTCCACTGGAAATGCTTTTGATGAAAGATTTATATATTAGGTCCTAATCTGCTATTCATTGGTTCAGAATTTTGCAGTAGACTTGTCAAATGTTTTATGGCTGTTCAGATGTGTTTCTCGTCTGTACCCGATGCTTGTCACGTTGGCTTTCTTTTCTGTAAGTTTTAAACAACTAGTGTTTGTTATGGAATAAAGTAAAACGCGTCAAGTCACTTAAAGTATGCACAGCTGAGAGCACTTCTTTGTTTTGTACCATTTAAGAAGTTGTCATAGCTTTTTCCGATTCAACGAACTAGTTTTTTTCAAATATTTTGATTCAGTTATTAAAATTATTTGGGTCTTAAAGATAACGACTGATGAAACTATTTTCATTCGGATATTGTCAATGACACTTTCTTAACCAGTTCAGTAAAATTATTGTAGATGTCTCTTTTTTCAAGGTAAATGATATATTTAAAAATCACTGGATCAACTTCAACTTGCAAACGAAACTTCTTTTTCGATTTTAATTAATATTTCTTCGAAAGTGCAAAAAGCAGATAAATCAAAGTTGATGGGTTTCAGTTTATATAATTCATTTATTCTGATTGTCTTGTCAATTAATATAATAGGAGTAAGTTTACTGCTAAAATACGCATTTGCAACTTCTGGTGGCGTGTAAATGACTAAACACAAATAGCTGTCTCACTGTTTAGACTATGGGAAATTACTGAATTATAGGTGACACTTAACAATTTTTATTATGGCTGAACGTGTCTTGTTTTATGAACAGAAAACCTGTGGCTTAAAAAGCGGATTTCATTGGCACTTGACTTATTAGAACCAGTTTTTGTTGAGCAGAGAATTTTAAAAACATCGTAAGTATCTTTAGTTAGAGCTAGATTTTCTTTTTTTTCTCCACTTATACTATGCACATATTATTTATGTGAATTAGAAAGAAACTGAACAAAAAATAATTGTATAAAAGTTTTAAAAACTGAAATTTTGCACATTATAAGTTGTTGGGGGGCAACAAAGCACTTTTTTGTCACTGGGAAATTTCAACAGCTGTTAAGCTGACTAAAAAAGAAATTAGTCAGGTTTGAGTCATTGACGTAACAGAATTCTTTGAAAAAATGTTGCATGAACTGCAAAAGTTTTTTTTTAAAGTAGAATCCAGCAAGGGGTCCAAAAAACGTGGTAACTTAGGGCAAATCTGGTAGATCTGCTTCAAACTGATAAGAAACTTTAGTTGATAGAGCGATTCTAGATGTAAATATGACCAGCATATTTTTTTAGAGCAAGAACTGTGGAAGCACGGGTGCTTAGCAAAAAATCATATAGATATATACAACCTGTTCTTAACAGTTTATTAAAAAATTTGAGGTGATATTTTGATATTCAGCTGTGCTTTTTTTTCTTCTTGTTTTCAGGTATGTCGTACTGGTACTTTATTGCGTATATATATATATATATATATATATATATATATATAATATATTTATATTTATATTTATACGTAATGGTCAGCGTGGGAATAACTTCATGTTGTACTTTATGAAGCAATAACAAGGACGGAGTCAATAAAGAAATTTTTCAGAGAAATTTCAGTGATTTATTCCTCATTATATTGAAGTGTTCTCTTTGCTTTGCCCTTATCAGTATTTGCAAATATGCCAACTTTTACTGTTCGAAGTGCTTGTTGCCGTTGAAATGGACACGGAGATTTATACTGGCATTTAATCGATTCGTTATCACTCTCCAGTTACCGTACTTTCCTCTGGGATTTAATGTCCGTTACATGTCGTTAACTTTGAATTTCAAGTGGCATAAAAATGTGCAATTTTATGTAATGCCACAGAACCGCCCTACAGATACTCTGCACGTGTTTGACAAAATGTACTTTCACCAATTTCCCAGTGTTTTTTTTTTTTAAAACCTTAAACTTTTCTTAAATTATAATTCAAAAGCGGAATTGTTTGAAATTTTGTAAGAGACTCAGCAAAAACTGTCGCTCAGTTTTCAGTGTTTACAGCTTCTCAGTTTATATAACTTTTTCCAGCGCTTAGCGTAATAAAGAGGTAAGGAAAGTAAATTGCTCATTATTATGATCTTATTCTGTATCTCAGTCAGTATTATAAGTTTTGGCCTGCCAAACAAGTTTTTTTAGAA